TACTGAACACTGGCTTTACTATTGTATCCGGTACTACGTATAAGTAGTGTTAGAATTGTGTTTACTGAACACTGGCTTTACTATTGTATCCGGTACTACGTATAAGTAGTGTTAGAATTGTGTTTACTGAACATTAACTAGTAGTGAGCTGTTTAATGATATCGTAGCTGAATAATTTTAGTTTTTATTATTTTAAAATTTTCGCGAAAAACTAGACAAAACGCTAACTGCACATAGTCCTCCTTAATTTTGAGCTTATAGACTAGAGAGGAAGGCAGCTGGTCAATAGTTCCTTCCGCCAACATTTGAAATAATTTTATTTGAATAAATATTAGAATCTACCCGAAGTGCGGAATGTGGTTTTGCAGATCTGTAAATACTCGTATTGGTAGTCTGGGCACACTAGTGTCTATTATTGCACACAAAAGCGTTTATCTTAATAAAAAGCATTCCTTGCTGCTGGCTGTGTGAAAATTTTATGATTATGTATAATATTGTAACTAATCAGGATTTCGACATCATTCTTCAAGGGTCATGTAGCCACCAGAGATTCGTGAACATTAAATCAATTTGACCATATATTATATACTAACAAATCAATATTTCTACATCCCTTTTCAAGGGTTTTGTAGCCATCTGAGTTTCGTTAAACTTAAAAAGTTTTCATTACATATATGATATAATAACTAACCAAGATTTCGACATCATTCTTCAAGGGCCCTGTAGCCACCAGAGATTCGAGAAACTTAAAAAGTTTTGATTATATATATATATATATACATATGATATAGTAACTGTCCAGGATTTCGACATCCTTCTTCAAGTGTCCTGTAGCTACCAGGGATTCGTGAAACTGAAAAAGTTTTCATTACATATATGATATAATAACTAACCAAGATTTCGACATCATTCTTCAAGGGTCCTGTAGCTACCAGGGCTTCGTGAAACTTTAAAAGTTTTGATTACATATACGTTATAGTAACTAACCAGGATTTCTACATCCTTCTTCAAGGGTCCTGTAGCTACCAGGGATTCGTGAAACGTTAAAGGTTTTGATTATATATATATTTGATAGAGTAACTAACCAGGATTTCGACATTCTTCTTCAAGGGTCCTGTAGCCACCAGGGATTCCTTTTCCTCAATTCGAGTGTACGTGAACGTAGTTCCGGCCACATCGTACTCGCCACTCCACTGGACGAACCAGTCTCCGTTCAAATAAAAGTAACCTTTCGTGTCACGAAGTGCTAAGTAGTTGTTGGAGGTAGAAATTTCTTCCACTCGAATATTTCGTGCTCCTTGAGGTACAGTCACAATCTTAGCGTAGCCTACAGAAAACGTTTTATTAATTATGAAACTCGAGAGACAGGAAATGGCGTAATTTTTGTTTTTATCAAAAAATGATTGTTTATTCTTTTACAGATGATTTAAGAGAGTCTTCATGATGAAATAACACAGTTGAAATGAATAGTAACTTCTTAGATCAGAGTAACAGATAATGAGAAAGCCCTGGAGGACTTATCTACAAAAGTACTTCAGACGAATGACTGGAGTCTTTGGAAACGTCGTCCTTTTCACTTCTGTAGACAATTCTTCCCTCCAGAACTTTCTACTTGGGTGTTACCATTAGCTAAGCAGTTGCTGTCAATTTTAACTTTGTTTGTTTATCAAGGATTGTATATATCTGTTTGATGTCACGAGTTCTTGATATAAGTCTGCTGTTTTAAATCTCCACGAATTCATTATATTATGGTTTTATACAGACGATTATATGGTTGGGATTGCTTTATTCTATAGAAGTTTTTGGTTAATAAATTAACCTAGACATGCTGTAATAGATGTTGAAAAGTAGTAATGCATCTACCTAGACCACGTTTCTGCTTGAAGTCACCTCTGACAGCTTGACATTGTGTTCCGTCTCCATGACAAATACCACATCGGTCCTCTTGAGCTTTTGAGTCAATTTCTCCATCACACCCAACATACTACAAGGTAGAAACTTGTGATAGTTTATACAAGACTTCACGGTTCAATATTATCAATATGAAATTAAAATGTGTGTGTAAAATAGTAATGAAATAAGTATTCATATATTTAAATGTATATGATTTTTCCTAGATGTATAATTCAATCAAAATTAACTTGCCTCAGAATGATAAAAGTCCATATGGTATCCTGCTGACTGGTGTTGATAAAAGAAAGTTTAACACATATTTACAGTTTTGTAAGCCTTTTTTTCTTAGAGGTATTGTATAAGTAAAATCACGTTACAACCAACATTTCTGTGCATTATTGGTTGTGTATGTGCATAAAAAAGAAACGTTAAGTAAGATAATACCAGCTGCACGGCCTATCATAAACATTAACAGTCCTCGTTTCATGGTAAATATTGTTATAGTGCTAAAATAAATCATACTTTATGTATTTTAAGAGATATCCTAATGACGTTTTTACATTAATCTGTAACTAAAACTACATCATTACATAACACCGATATCAAATATAAACAGAGGTATTTTTAATAACGCCACTTTCATAACACCGATATTAAACATAAACAGAGGTATTTTTGATAACGCCACTTTAATAACATCCATATTAACATAAACAGAGGTATTCTTGATAACGCCACTTTCATAACATCAATATTAAACATAAACAGATATATTTTTGGTAACGCCACTTTCATAACATCAATATTAAACACAAACTAAGATATTCTTGATAACGCCACTTTCATAACATCAATATTAAACATAAACAGATATATTTTTTGATAACGCCACTTATATAACACCAATATTAAACACAAACAGAGATATTTTTTGATAACGCCCGACTTTCTATAACAATCAAT